CAACGTCGATATTAAGTTGTCTATTGTCTAATTGCACTTGTGGTATTAATGCGACATCCAGTTTCAATTATCTGTTCTTGGTGGCAGGCCTTTAATATAAAATTATCTTCAACAATTAATTGGTTGTGGTTGTTGTTAAATTTTGATTTCATAATTGTGAGTTGTGATGATGGATTTTTCAAAGTGCTACATTGTGTCATTTCATACATACTACAATTTTGGGGGCCCTATTTTCTGAACTTCGTCTCAAGGCCCCCAAATCACAGGACCGACACTGATAGGCATGACCTGTACGCTGCAACATTCTGTTAGAAAGCAAAGACCATAGGTTGAGAAAAAAGGATCAACGAGCGTTTGTACTTCAACACTCAAGTCAACGGTCAAACGAAAAAAATAAAAGTGCAGAAGACTCTTCATGGGGTTTGGCTAGGATTATAATAGCATATTTTATTATGAAACGAACTCACACACACACACACATCTATACGCTTTTTTTATTCAGTTATGTTATAGGTACAGGAAATATTTGACAGAATTTTTACAGATCAACACTTGGCAATTTTTCATTGATTTTGAGCCCAAAGATGACAGCAAAACAAACCTGTATGGGTTACGTGAATTATTCCCTGTATGCAGAGAATTATTCTGTGCATACAGGGAATAATTCTGTTTTATTCTACAGTAGCCAATCCTCCAATTATGAGGCCAAATTATAATTGGACTTTCATCCCCAAAACTGCCCCTTTTCCTCCCAAAAACTTATCCGCCGCATGTGCTTATATATATCACTCAGCCACCAACTTGTATTATTAATTCCCATAGTTAGCCCATTAAATGTATAATCTTCTTCAAGCCCTCAATTCTTTTAAAATAATACACTTCAGTCCTTGAGTTCATTCAATTGTGCTGCCCATGTCTTCTTCAATTCAATTTAAGCCCTTTAATTTTCAAAGTGTGAATATTAGTCTTCAAACTTCCATCCAATAGTCAATTTATCCTTCATTCTTTTCAATTGCTTCAAAAGAGTCCATAACTAAAAGCAAAAGAAATTTAACCCAAATTCAGTAGAAATTAATAATTTGACAATATAAAGTTTAGTAATATGACCTAAATAAGTGCTCAAATTGCACTCATCAACTCTAACTGAAACTAAGTTGGAGCACAAATTGAACAGCATCCAAAATTGAATCCGGTAGAAAACCACTAACAATCCCAAGTTTAATGTTCAATTCTTGCTTTGTCAAAGCTAAAATCAAACCGAAAGCAAGAAAACTCAGATTGCAAGAGGCACCAAAATGAATGTTTCTCTCACTAGAATTAAGAGTTTCTTTCTTTTAACCACTTGACAAGTCACCCTTATTGCAGGTACTTCATGGAACACTATTTTGGTTATGTATTGTTCTAAAAGAAAACGTCTCTTGGTAAAAGATCCTTCAACCCTTGTTATATTACTATGATCTCCTTTCCTGCTTTTTACTTTTCTGTTATGATTGACATAGAAATTGGCTAAAAATGCCATATTTTCTTCTTTCTATCATTTTGCAATCATCTCTCGAAAAAATTTCTTCCTGCACCCCACAAGACAATAAATGTGTAAATTTTACAATATATGATATAGATGAATTAATTTTTCAAATGGTCACTGAATTTAGATCCATGTATTTAATTGATCATTGAATTTAGGTCCATATCTTCATCTTAAAATGTCCATTTTAAATTTCAGTGAGCAATCGAAATTATGGACCTCAATTCAATGTCCACTGGATCAATTAACTCCAATATAGACCTACCATTTTGCCTTTATACTTATTGTGGACGATCTTTCTCTTCTTTTTCTTTTTTTATTTTTTTATTTTTTTTTAATTTTTCTTAAGATTTTTTTCTTTTTCATATTTTTGACTTAAATGGAAATTGGTTAATAGAAAATATCATTATAATTCATTGTTAACAGTTGAACCACTTAATACAAAAAAAATTAAGCTATTAAATAGACCACTCATTTACATATTACTTTGAACACGCCCTTCATGTGTAAACACATGAAGGTTTATTTTTTCCCTTGAGAGCCTATCATGTACAAAATGAATTTAAATGGATTGATGCAAGACTTGAACCAAGACATTTATGATTAGCACAATTTCTTATCTATTTGATTGATGATTTTTTTTTTTTAAATGTTCTTTTTCTATTTTTTTATATTCATTTGGTTTAATGATAATTAAATTTGACAAAATTAATAGGAATTAAAGTAGTCTTTTTAAAAAGGTTAAAAAATAAAAAAGATATGCTTGTCTATCCACCAGAGTAATTATGCTCCGGTGGAAGTCTCTTCGCATTTGCTAATTTTTTGGAATCAGAATACACTTAGTAGTCCTCATTTTAAATAATAGTAGTTCTAATTTTAAACAATCTCATTCCACAAATCAACTTAAGATAAAGAGAGGAGTTAATATCGACATTTCAAATTGAGGATTTGTTTGACAACTTTTGCTTTTGCTTTCCATAGAAGAACTTATTGAAAAAAACTATCTTAATTTTTGTTTAGAAACTAATTTCAAAAATAGTTTCTTATTCCAAAAACGCTTTTAAAGAAAGTCACATTTAACCAACTTCCTCTAAAAGCTAATAGCTATAATCTTTACACCCAATATGAACAAAGCTAAAAATATGCTACCTACAGGCAGATGCCCAGAGGAAGCATAAATTCTAGACGAGCTAAAGCCTAAAAGGAAAGTATCCCTGTTCTATTTGTGGAAACAGAAATTCCTACATGGATCATCCATTAACATATTTATGGAAACTGACCCGTTCATCTGAAACTACCTGCAAGAAATCACTTTAACCTAAAAACTCCACCAATCAGACGATGCATTTTAGTTCCAATGCTCAACCTATGGCGAGTAATCGTAGCAATTTTACCTCTCTTTGGAGATGAACTCATTCTTTTTCTTTTCTTATTCACGGCATCTTCACTGCTTGACCCCCTCAAATTCAATGCAGCCATTAACTGCTGACCTCTGGCACCCGGAATGTTTTTCTTTATGAATAAAGAGGCCTGCTTTGTTTGCATATCATCCAAGTCCTTCTCCAATTTCCTCTTGCAAGATATACCATCCAGCAACCTCAGATGATCACGCAGAATAGAGAAACTAGCATCTGAAAACAAAAGACATTATTGAATGTTAATAAAATCAATCAAAAATGAACATCCACAGAACCAAGTATGTTTAAATTTACCTGGTTGGTCTTCTCCGTGTATCACTGGACTTGAACATCTCTGAGGAGTCAGAAAAGTAGTATTTGGATAATTTCCAACTGCACCAACCTCAACATCAATGTTAACTTTTTGTAGTGAACTTGAAGAAATTACTTTGTGAGCTTCATGTGAAAGTACATCGGATGAATTATTTGCTACTGTTGGCAAAGAAATAGACTCTTTGGGCAAATCACATATCGTTCTCGACCTATTATCTTCATTTTTAATGTTCTCAACTCCACTATGTTTTTGTTCACTACAATCCTCTGTAAGAGATTCATCAGCAATGTCATTGCTTCCATGGAAAACAGAACCATGATTATTCTGCACAAGAGGAGATGCACGGATGTCTGCATTATCCAACACTGATTTGGGGGAGGTATTCAACATAGTTGAGTCCCTGCTTCGTTTCTGAGATTTAATTAAATTCGAAATACAGGCGGTACCCTGTTTTGCATAAAAGAGAATGTACGCCTCCTGTGACAGCACAAACTGTTCATGTACACGAGTGACCTACAAAATTGCAGCCAAGCATCAATACCTATCTTCATATTCAATGGGTCCTAGGACAACTGGTAAAGGCAGAAGTTGTCAGGACTTTGTAAAGTTAATTGTGACGGTCAATAAATAAAAAAGAAAAAAGCTAAGTGCTTGTCTAGTAGTACTTAAAAGCTATGGTTCCTACAAAATGAGTGAATATTAAGTTATGGGTCCTCCCAAATGTGTGGTTAAAGTATGCTTGACTAACTTAAATTATAATTTAAGCTTCACCAAACACGTTCTCAATGTCACCAACAAAACCCACTTATTTGTTCAATAACTCCAGATGAGGAAAAAAAAAAAAATGAGAATAGAGATATCACTTACATTTTCAATCAACACAAAGTAAATTCAATGCCAGTGGTATCAGTGCATTACCTTTGAATCATCAAACTTGCACCACATATCAGGGGATACACGAATAAAGCAATAATAGTGTCCCGAAGTAGATGTGAATCCAACATGCACCACAACAGCATAAAGTTCATACTTGAGTTCTGCCTGCAGAACAAAGAGGGGGAGAATTCACAAAATCTTTTTTTTTCTCAATATTCAAAAGTAGAATGCTGAATAAGCTAATATTCCCTAAAAGTATTATCCTGCCACCACACAACAAACTCAATATTTGTCCCACCAAACCACTAAATAATTACACCAACAGAGGATCAGAACAGACGTATATTCAGCAATAATTTATGCCCCTGATAACTAGGTATAAATGCAGTTTGTTAGTGGAGTGCTGTAACTATTTAATTACCCAGAATCAAGTATTTTACAACAAAATTCATGTCTACCAAGCCTCAATGCTATTAGAGACAACATATAAAGTGTTTCATATGCTAAGAAAAAACTCACATCATTTGTTTTGTCACCACAAGTGTAAGGCAGCAAATCCAACTCTAATGGAAATGCTACATGCTTGTCAATCTTCTCAACATATCTACCATCACTTTTGAATCTCTTCAAGTGAAATGCAGCTATTGTAGGTGCATGGTCTAACACAAGTTGTTTCTCAACTGATACTTGCTCCTTGCACTCTTCACATGTAAACTTAGTCTCTGGATCTTCAATTTTTTCAACCTTTGTGAAGGATTGTAAAGCTACTAATAGC